AAATTTCAACACAATGTCTTACCTTTAAAGAAACTTTTCTATCCTATTTCAAAGTTAAGCTATATCAAAACAATCTAGCACAGTGTTAACCATGTGACCCGTGAAGAAAATTAGGGCCAAGTTTGTCAAAGTCAGATTTCCTGAGGGTAGAAAATTAGTCACACATTGTCAAACCTCTTTGGCCAATGCGCGCCTCGGCCACGAGGGAGAATCTCATTTCAAATACCAGCTTTGCCAACAATGTCACCTTTGAGGCTGTTTAGAATATTGTTTCCTCTATTTTCCCCTCAAAAATTAGCCAAATTAGTCAGATTGCAGTTCAGAATCCCCCAACAATTCTGGAAACATTTTGAAACGCCCACTCAGCTCACTTGTACGTAAGATACCTCGTCACCTGACCTCGGTAATGATATAAGGATATCAAGTCTCGCGAGAGTTGGGCCGAGAGTCTAAAGTAAACAAAGAAACATGGCGGCTCGGATTAGAAAGACGCCAGCGGCCCGATGTTTCATCAAGAAAATAAGCTATTTACCGCTTTCTTTGCCAAGATAACGGTATCTGGGGACTTTTAATGGGTTTTCTTACAAATGGACACGCTTTTCACTGGCACCAATATTGTATTTTTACCAAACACACGTTCCCTGACGTCCGGGGCTTTGGGGTAGAATTAATTTTTTTTTTTTTTTTCATTTTGCGATTTTTTGAAGCGGCGATTCCGAGAACCAACAAATTAAATTGGTGTGGCCTAATACCTCTACTTATCCCCTACCTCTCGAACTGATGACTTGAAATTTGACATGAATTTGCAGTAGACCAACACAGCAAGTATCCAGAGAAAGTATCCAAAATGTTGACTAGACTTTATGAATGCATACTTGGGGTATGTAGGGTAAGTATTGTGCATAGAAGTTAGGTCACTCAAGTTGACCTTTGACCCTCCCACCTGTTACAGTTATGTCACTATTTATTTTAGTATGGGTGCAGTATGTTACTTGTGGACATCAGAAACCAACTGCTGCCACTGGACAGTTGATTAACAACATTGGACTGAAAGTAATAGATAAATGGACATACATGTATTTTATAAACTTATTAGAACTTGAGTAGAATAAAGCCGAAAGCAGTCGTCATCAACCAAGGGGAAGCAAAATGCTTTTTAATCCAGTTTATAGTAGTACTGTGTAGGTTAGGTACAAATTACAATGCATTGGTAACAGCTCAAGTTTGTTCATCTTCAAAGAATACACCTCAATTATCCATAAGAGAAGGGGTCCATCCTGGACTGTGAGTGGATCAAACCTTAAACCAATCAGGTAACTGAGCCCGATCTTACATTACTTAAACTTTATAAACAGTTCAAGATATTTTCAAACAGTGTTTCTGTATATGCAACCACAGTTGGACATGTAAAACCAGCTGTGTGTTATCTGACATGGCACAGGCTAGCTCCTGTACACCCGACTGGCCCATCCAGCTACTGAACAACTGTCATAACACATGCTTCCCAGGGAAGGGGATCCTAACAAAGGGGCATTCATATGTATGTATGTATGTAGAGTCTATGTATTCCAGGGCTCAAAATAACACCAGCATATGCAGGTTTGTGACATTGCAGTTGTGGAGGTATTTCTGATGTCTACGTGCACATGACCTGTACCTGTCATTAGCGGGCAGTAGCAGGAATTTTTAACAGAAGCATCTTGTTATACACACAGCAAATTACATGATTTCAAAGGGTACCACCATGAACTAGAAGGGAACGTAAGTAAGCGTTATAATTTATAGGTAAGGTTTGACAGATGCAGGTAATTTCTATTGTTTCCTTGTTTTATTATCACTCTGAAATTGAATAAGGATTGATACAAAATTCTCAATGCTAGCTTAAGTAGGTCGGGAAGTATTGTGAAGAAGTACACTGAAAGAAGTCTTTGATACAAGGAGAAAGGACAAGTTGGGACATGATGCTTCTTCTTTAATAGGACTAGCAGATGCGTGACTAACAGGTCCTTAAGTGTCTATCTGTCCCAGAGAGTGGCTGTGTTGTTTCAGGTGTGGCCTACTGTGTCCTTCAGGGGCAGTTGTAGGGGCACTCTGCAACCACACATCTTCAACTAAGTTCAAGACTGAAAGGATATTTTAAGGATTTTAAGGAAAGCACAATTTCTGTGAAGGTTTTTAACAGGGAAATTAGAGATGCTTCCAAGTCCACATGTGGCATTTTCCCTTTCATCGCATATTTATATTCAGTTGATCTCACATTCATGCTTTATGACTTGGGGCCTGCTTACCCGATATGTGTAGGTAAGGTATTTCAATTTCCCAGACATGTAATTGACATGGAAATCGGTGTTATTTCCAGAGTTTCTTCCTTAATTTAGCACACTGATAATTTCTGAATTTAGGGTTAAGTGTTGTCTAGGCCCCTCCATGCAGCCCCCTACTTACCTGTAAGAACACTGCTTTTACACTCCCATCTACCTTGCAATGTACGAATACTTGCTTTTTTGATGACTAGGCAACACTGGAGTCTAACTGGACATTGACACCTTAGAACAGGTGTTTCAACATTTGCTGACCGATAATAACCTATAAAACTCCACTCTGGGACAGATCTTGTGGGACTGGTCACTCAGAATGGTTAATCATTTAATTTTTTCCCAGAAAACCATCATGATTTCACTTCTTGATGTCACATATGATAAGCTACATAAACAGGAAGATCTTTATGCCATGATACCTTTATCAAATCATTATGCGCATAAATTTGCATGCCATATTAGGTAGCTTAACAAAGAGGGTTTCTCGTAGGGATGATGACAAGGATAGATTACCAAGGAATATGCGTGGACATATATGGACACGTGAAGCCTGAAGCTCAGTGGCAAGTGTGATATCTCACGACAGATGTAGAGTTTGGGAGGTGGTACGAGAGTGGTACATCTCCCGCGTGGTCAGGAGGGTTTGCAGCTATCAGACTTCTTATACAGCTGCATTCCTCAACCATGTATGGAAGAAATGGAAGACTCCTGGACCTGTGGAAGTGTTGTGTGGAATTTTGTTGTACGGTGGAGTGTGATTTTTGAAGGAATACTTGTGACCATCTGTTTTCCACTGTGGCTCACAGTGTAAACTTTGAAAGTATAGTCATCCTTTGGGGAAAATGCAGCATCCAGGTCCTGATACTGAGTGATACAGTAGTGAGTGAAGCCTGCAATGTCCCCAAATTTGGTCAGAGGTCAGTGAACTCCTACTCTTATCAACAGGTGAAGTGAAGAGAGAAGGAATCCTCAAACATGTCAAAGAAGGTTTAAAGTTCAACTTACATAAGTGCTACCTTCTTACTGTTGTTTTCTTTTCCAGATAAAATTTTTCCTGCTTTTTTTTTTGTTTGCTTGCATTTTGATCTTTTGAAAAAAAAAGTCACCAGTTAAAAGAACTGTTATATACAGTGCATACTTTTTCAGCTGAGAGTGCGTGATCATGAAGTACAGTTAGTCATTTTACAGTTCACACCATCCTTACTCACATAAAATATAACCACAGCAAGGGTAATAAAGTAGAATGGTAATACACTATTGTGAATATGGGTATGGGAAAATCTGTGGAAAGTTTATAAACACATGTCAAAAGCCAGATAACAGAGTCTTAAAACAGTAACTCAAACCTTGACATCCATTGCCTTTTATGGTACAAGGTTGAACTATAGGAAACGATCATGGTCAAAGATTGTACTTTTTAGCAAGTTGTAGCCCAAAGGCACATTGTTACATGTTAACGTGCGACATTGACCTTGCCTGGTCCCAGATGTTTTCTTATCTGGTGGTGTCGATCACCATGTTAATTCTTTCCTGTCCCAAAAGGAATTTTTGTGAGCTGCATGAAGTTTCCTGTACTTCGGAGAAAACAGCTGGTCAACAGTGGGGTTAGGACATCTGTGGACAGATGGGGCAGACCTTACATGTACATGGAAACTCCATGTAGCTTTTACCTTCTTCCTGCTACATCAGTACATGTACTTTACTCCCAACCCAAGACAAATTTGGTGTCAAAAGAGAAACAGGGAATGTTGATTGTAGTCTCTGTAGGGTCTGAACCAAGATGATATTGAAAGACAAATTGACAAAGCTATTCTGTAGACTTTGAGAAAATGGTCACCATAAAGGTAGATGGTCTCAGTATACATTTGGTCCATGGAAAAAAAATAAGTCATGCCATAATGGCCAGGTTGTCAGCTGAGTTCAGTCATGTGCTTTTGTGGTCGTACAATACGTACATTATTATATTTTTTGATGAGGTTATTACAGAACTGGCCTTTTGTGGTAGAAGGCAAAGGGATATTTTTAAACTTGTTGAAACGATTCTGTAATACAGTAGTTATACAAGGGGGATATAGATTTGAAGAGAGGTCATTGCAAAAGCCATGAAAATAAAACCACTGTGGAAGTTTCAACTTTCAAGCTACAGTACTGTAACATGAACACTTGACCCTGAAGCGCCTCCTACAGGATATTCTCCAGTCCGGTACTGCAGTGTTTGCTGAGGGATTTGCGTGTTGTTGGAACATAAGTCATCCCACACACACTGCAGTAGGCCGAATTCCTCACTTCCTTCTTGGAACTGGGGAAGAAGGAAGGATGTCGTTCTCTTACCGATGATGCATGGGTTGTTTTTATACCAGAGGGTGGTTATACTTCCTATACAGATACAAATCATCAGATATGGATAACAATATCAAATATATCAATATGTCAACATCTTTTCCTACCTGTAACTTAGAATTGCTCCTGACTGAAAAAAATAAAAAGTAGGGATTGACCTGATGTAACCTGCATGAACATGAACACAGGCACAGTTCAACCATAACAATTGTACAAGTGTTTTTTGCTTGTGCAGGAAATGACTACAGTGACTACATATTAGCGAGAAGAATGTCTGCTCAGTGCTGACACCTTACCATTTATTATCTGTATTCCTCAACTTGTTGTTTTATTCTCCACCAGGTGTACAAAGGACTAGACATTATCACGAACAAGGTAACAGAGGAGGAACAGCGGGCGTGTGTGCATCATGTGTTGGACGTCGTCAGTCCGCTACGCCGCTTTACCGTGGTGGACTTCAGAAACAAGGCGCTGCCCATCATATCCTTGTCTTACGTTTTAAACAGTCATCAATACATGCTCACGACGGCGCATGTTTAAAGAATATAAATTTTCTACTTTATATTTGAGGACTACTGCTAAAATGCTTATTTTTACCTGGTATTGTTGGTCACAGGTCAACAATGCAATTCCTAAAGTTCATCCACTTTTAAATGAAAGAAAAAAAACTCTCAATAAAAAAGCAGACATGTCTATTTTATTTTAAACAATGGAAGAAAAGATCATGTGAATGTTGAAAAGTTGCTGACCTTGACCTTTTCACCTTGAAGACATCCTGGACAGACAAAGACTGCCCATCATCGTGGGGGGAACCAACTATTATATTGAGTCTCTGCTGTGGAAGGTGCTCATCAGTCCACCGGTAAGTCTCTTACTCTTACTCTTAGGGATCAGAGGGGTCAATCTATACCTTATACTCAACAACATCAACATTGTCTGTTAGTAAGTTTAGAAGAATAGAGAATAATATCATCTATATAAATAGAACGGTTCAATATAAATTCATAATAAATGTATAGTACATGTACATGTGTATTTGTGAGTTTGTTCTCCATCTGTTGCCATGGAAACATTTGTCAGAATGTCCTCTGTTGCCATGGAAACATTTGTCAGTTCTCCATCTGTTGCCATGGAAACATTTGTCAGTTCTCCATCTGTTGCCATGGAAACAGGAGGATCAGGAGGAGACCAGCCTCCTGTTTGACCGTGAGGATGCGGCAGACGAGATGATGACGGATGCAGACCTCCACTCCCAGCTGGCCGCGGTGGACCCCGCCATGGCTGCACGACTTCACCCTAATGACAGGAGGAAAGTGGCCAGGTGAGGGAACGTGAGTTGTCCTCGACTTATTTCTGTTTGAACATCACCTCTAAGAGTAGTGTACATCTATGTAAAAGTACAGGCAAACGAAAAACACCAATACCACCACTGGAAGATGATAATGTTTTCTGTCAGTTATTTCAAACATCCTCTATATCCTACTCACAGGAAATATATAGCTTCTCTGTTAGTGTGATCACTCACAAAAATGTTGCTGAGAGAAAAATTGAAACAAAGTGCATGTGTTCATATTGTGAAAGATTTAGCTTTTGTCCAAGGAAATTAATGGTAAAGGAAAAATCCAGACAAAAACCAGGTGCTTGACATGTCCTTCCAGGAGTCTGCAGGTGTTTCAGCAGACAGGTGTTCCCCACAGCATCCTTCTACAGGAACAGTCCACGCAGGAGGGGGGTGGGCCTCTCGGGGGGCCCCTCAGGTACACCAACACCTGCATCCTCTACCTCTCCTGCCAACAGCAAGGTCAGTCATTCTTCTTTCTTTCTTTCTAAACAAAAATGACTTAAGGATGCTTTATTTTGTGTAATCAAACTCATCTTCATCATGTAATCATGTAATCATGTAATCGAAGTACCTGTTTTTAATTCTAAGTACTTGTTTCTAATTCTAAACTGTTGTCTCCAGTTTTAGACGAGCGGCTTGACAAACGTGTGGACACTATGTTGGAACAAGGCTTGCTGGACGAGCTTGCTCATTTCCACACGGAATACAACAAGGAGATAGTTGATGCAAACAGGTAGGACTCCCCTATTTCTGGATGGAATAGTCAGACTTTACTAGAATTTTGGTATGATACATGTACAGTACTACACAGTAAACTACTGTTTGTTTTGAACTTAGGACACTTTATTACGAGATAGGTAAACACAAATATTCCAGACTACATTTGGTGTATGTTGGTAACAATTATTAAAGCTTGGCCCACTGTGCTACAGCGTACTGGAAGACTTTTCCAACACAGATCCATTCTATTTCCCTGAGTGTTATACAGTGTAATGCATGTGCAGACTTCAAAGGGCAGATAACTTGTAACAGACATACATCATTGTAACAATCACTGCCAATAGCACTTGCTCCTTCTGCCTGTGTCTGTCTGTGACACATGATGTTTGCTAGTGTTTGCCTGCGTGTGGCCTTCCTCCTGCCCTGACTAACAAAACTGCTTCAGTACGAGTGTCGTTACCACAAAGAGTGGACTTAATGACTACTCGGTAGCTCACTTCCCCAGCCATACTACATTCAGACGGCTGGGAAAAACACACACTGTACGAAAAAATCAATTCCCGTTGTTCAATTATGGCTGGGGCGGGGTGGGAAAGTCGTAATAGCGGCCATTGTATAACTGTTAGCAGTTGAAGAGGTTGGTTCAAAAATGTGTTAAAAGTCATTGGAGGAAGCCTTGATTAGTTGATAGATTCTATCCTGGCATAGTAGCAGAGGTAGGATTGGTGTCACTCAAGTTTTTGCAAGGTCATCAGAAATTTGTGCATTCTTAGCATCAAAATCACATATCTCTTTGTCGATATCTGCAGTTGAAAAAGTTAGAGTGGTGTGATTGGTTCTTGACAGAAAGTGTGAAGCTGGCGTTTCTTGACAGGCATGTCTTGTTTAATCTGTCTCCTTGAAACTTTCACCATGTCCTCCAAACTGTATCACTTCCACTGGAATCTTGAAGTGTCTGAGAGTACTTGAGTCGGCATTCCACCTAATGACCATCTCTTAAGGCCGGCACTTCAGACGTCTTCACATACTTCTCTCAGCCTTCCTACTCAACGACCTGATAGTGCATATGTCAACGAACACCACAGGGGTGTGGTGGGGGTGGGGGTTGCAGGTGTTTCATTGCTCACCAGTATAGATAGTTGCTATTCTACTAGTATTCTAATTCTTAGAGGTGAAAACAAGAATCTGTGAAATTGTTTCTTTCCTAGAATATACAGAGATTTTTGTTTCCTTTCCTTAGTAAAATATGGAGAGATGTTGATATCTTTATGGACGTTTATGTGTATGAAAATCTACCATATATTTCCATTTACAAGCATGTAGTGAAATGATGTTCAGTATCCAGTGTTTAAGAAAAAGACGTGTATGTGAAGCAAAATTAGCACCACTCTTGTTATTACTTCAACAGTAAAGCCCTTTATCCTAACAGCAGGTCTTGGCTTACAAACATTTGAACACAACCATAACTAGTACAAGGCAAGTTGATACTAGTTCTTACCTGACGTAATGTTTCTCAATTATCCTAATCCTCATCTTATCCTAATCCTGACTGATCCTCCTCCCCCACCCCCGCCACTCCTGTACAAAATAATAGCTCTGTCCAACGCGACACTTGACCTAGCAAGGAAAACAACTTTTCTTACACATACATTCATGTGTTTCCTTAATCCTAATCTTATCCTAATCCTGGCTGATCCTTTCCCACCCCCGCCACTCCTGTACAAGACCGGCTCTGCCCAACGCGACACTTGACCTGGCTAGGGAACACTGTTTGTGAAGGGGAATCCCTTTTGTTATTGTTCGGCCTTTTTTCAGGCCTGTTTGAAGTTAATCCCCCGGGAGAGCCCTTTGTGTCGCCTCACGGTTTTGTTAAACCTTCAAAGTGAAGCGACATTCTACCGACAGCTATTGTGAAGCACTGGTTTTACCTGTAGTGGTTCAGTAGAAAGTTACACTATACTACTGTCCTGGTCAGGAGTTCCGTTAGTACTCAATAGCCACTACAGTCCAGGTTCAGTGGGTTGTTTTTCAGAGTTAGGGGGATGTGCAGTTTCTTGGAAAGGGGTGGGGGTTAGGTGTACAAGTATATAGGAAGTTTATACTGAAGAAGAATTGTTGTATTGTACTCTGATGTAATTGTCTTCATCTAAAAAAGAGACCTGCATAAATTCTAGTACACATGCAATTTTTTCCCCACCATTATATGCATTAGCAAGATTGAATTACCTTTATGGCATTCATTTGTAACCCAACATTGGAATCAACCCTACTTCAAACAGTGGAAGATGAAAAGGTTGAAACCGACTTGTTCAACAACAGTTTTACATTGAAAGGTAAGAGAGACGTTTGAAAAGCTGTGTTAGGTACTTTTCCTTTTAAGTGCAAATTGATATGCCAAAATGAGTCTGGGTTTTGTAGAGTTTTGCCTTGATAGAGTGCCTTGTTGGAACAAATGTTCTGTTTTCAACCAGCAATGGACCTTACTTTTTTTGTAAAATTTGGGTTCAGCCAGTACCAGTACAGTATAATTCAGAAAGTTAGTTAAGATCCTTCCCCTGCCTTTGCCAGTGTATAGGGGGGCACCTATCTCAAGTCCTGTAGCCCTTGGGCCACAGGCCACATCAGCTCGTCCACTGGTAGAGGGGTGTGTTCAACTCCTATACTCTTTGAACTTTCTCATACATGCTGAGTGTCAATCAGAGATATCAGTATGTACAGTCTTTGCTATAAACTATAACTGCTTCCCACACACCTTCCAAATACATGTCAATAGAAAATGAACATTCTACCCCCTTGACCATTGCACCAGTTGATGATCAGAAAGGGAAAATCATTAATTTTTGTACCCCTTTCCAACCAGTGAAGTTTGTGGTCAGATCTATATATCATCATGGTATCTGTATTGCCAGTATAACATGGAATATTGGCAGGCAAACTACCCAATACAAAATTGGTCAATGACATGCTCTTGTACAATGTACTAGACCAGTTTGTAACATTACCAAAGGAAAACATCCCATCTTGGATTTAAATTTTAATCATCAATCATTTGCTGCAATCCTTATTCTACTTCTTATTCTTCCTGTTCCTAATACTACATCTTATAAGCAGTATGGAGTTCCTCTCTCAAACCTGTCTGTCACATTACCATTGCAATGGGGATATGAATGTCTGCAGAGTTTAAAAACTGTAGTTTTTGGGCTGCAGCCATCTAACCCTTAACCTAGACTTGTAAGTGTAACATGTTGTAGATGACTTAGTCAACGTTAAGTAGATTACATGTGGGTTAAGTTTCCGCTATGTCAGGAGAAGGGCTGATCTTGTTACATGGTTGATACATTACAGCCTATGTTTGGGTAGGTTAGATTTTGACCCATGAACTTGTGGTGGTTTGTCTTCCTTGAAAGATTGCCATGAGGTTGTAGGTAGGTTTTTGTTTCACCCCCTTTAGAAAAGAGTTTCAGATGAGTGTGTTCAGTTATAATCTTTTTGAAAGTTAATGTCATCTCACCTTCAAGGTCATTCACTAGATGTTGGTGTAGAAAACACGAAGAAGTAATTGTTTTAACAGTTAGTAGAATATTACAATCAGTGATGATTTTGAAAAGGTGAGAAAGACATATAGGCAGCTATTGCTGGTTTGGTGACCTACAAAATATCTTCTTGTTCACCTTTTTCAGACAAGACTACACACAAGGTATATTCAAGTCTATCAGTGATGATTTTGGAAAGGTGAGAAAGACATATAGGCAGCTATTGCTGGTTTGGTGACCTACAAAATATCTTCTTGTTCACCTTTTTCAGACAAGACTACACACGAGGTATATTCCAGTCTATTGGGTTTAAGGAGTTCCACAAGTACCTGTTGCTGGAGGAAGAGCGGAGGTCGTCAGACGAGGGGCAGCGGCTGCTGCAGGAGGGTGTCGCCGCGCTGAAGACCGTCACCCGACGCTACGCTCGCAGGCAACTCAAATGGATCAGAAACAGGTTTCTAAAACGTGAGCACAATTCCTTTATCTCAATGTAAAATTAATCACTTTATGTTTGCAGAAGCAAAGGTTTGCATTCTGAGAAAAATGGACATGTTCGTGGAAATATACGTTCATGGTTGCGGCAGGTGCAGGAAAAAGAAAGTCATCAAATTATTTGCTTTGAAGTGACCGCAAAAATCGCGAATATAAAAGTACCACGAAAAAATCGTGATTTACAGTACTTGAAAAGTGTGAGATTTTTTTCTATCGTTTTCTTGATCTTGTAACCTTGGAGAATAATGGTTCTGTACACTTTTCAAAGTTGCATATATTCATAACTAATCTTTCCTGATACCCTGTCATTTGATTGCTTACTCCCTAATGGCTAAAGGTCAGCTCAGCTGAAATGGGACCTGTCACTTTCATTTTAAAGTTACATTTGTAACAACAAATTTGTGTTACAGATATATTGCCATTCTCGTATTGGTCATTCTGAGAAGAATTAGGCAGTAATGGTTTTGCCTTTCCATTTTCTTTTTCCATGTACTTGGAGCTATTGCCATATTGGGGCTTTGCTGTACATGTACATGTAATACCTACTCTATATTCCCTTAGGATATAAAATGCTTTTCTTCTCTCTTCTGTTTAGAGTCCAATTTTTACCTTAGCAATTTTTGGCAGTAGATTGCTGTAGTGGCACTTGGAAGGATGTTAGCCATTGCTGTGTAGACTAATATTACACGTAATGGCCCAGTATCATTCATTGTGCGAGACATTTACAACAGCAAGATGAGAATATGTGAAATTCGTGAATGTGTCGTACAAAACTCGGGTGTCTCGTAACCAGAAAGGTTGTAGTAAATCCTTGTGGATGATTGGTCTATCATGGCCTCCCAGAAAATGTTGTGACAAATGCTTTTCACAGTTTCTGACCAACTACACCTACGCAAATTGACCCAGATTTTCCACCTGCCTTTTAGTAACCATACTACTTTTAGTAACTGCATTCGCTTTCAATTTGATGTGTAAATCCATCAGCTAGTGTAACTCATGGTAAGTGCTGGGAATTAGGAGAAATATCATGATGGTGATTATACTGGTAGACAGTGTTATCCCCTCAAGAAAGTCTTTATTACTCGTACTTGAAGATTCTGAGTGTTTGACCAAGAGCTTTTCCCAACACATTTACAGATTCAGCTGAGGTTTACCTATGTTTAGGTTTAAACTGCCAGAACAATGAAAAGGTCATAGTGGGAATGTCAACTCTTTGATAGCTCCATGCTTTACAAAAGTCCAATATCCTGTTTCATTGTATGGACTATATATCCTGGACAGTATTCCATTCCTTTGTTATACAGCAGTTTTGGAAATCGAGGGCAAAGCTTATCGTAACTCGTTATTGCCCAATAACTAAAGAAATGATCCAATTGAGACTGAACGTAATTGTGGATTATGTCCTGAGCCTTTTGGGGGTATTGACCTAATTTCAGACCATGAATGTCAATGGGAGACTTAAGATGTGTTTTATTCTTGGTACTTACTCTTGCACACACCGTGGTCAGAAAACTGTGGTGATTTCATGCTACGCTTCACCTGAGATACAATGCAATAAGCTGACAATACAAGTACTCTTTTCAAAAGATGTTGTGCTAAAAATGGACAGACAGCAGCAGAAAATAACCGTTCAGACACTAACTTGACACGTACAAAAGCTAGATAGACTTACATGTACTTTGTTTGCACATGGTCATCTGCTTTCCAGAAAAAGTGTTTGAAAAAAGATTTGAGGGGGTAAACGAAAGGCAAAAAGATGTGAAAGGTATTTTCTTGAATGGCATATACACATGTAATACAATTATAGAAATGAATTTTGCAATAATGTATCAGTAGATGCATATACAGTCAAACCTGTACTAGCGGTCACCTTTGTATAGTGGTCACTCGGCCATAGCGGTCAGTTTTTGCCGGTCCCTTGAATTTTTCCCATTGACGTAAGCATTAAGAATCGTGTCTATAGCGGTCACTGTTCAACGCGGTCAGCGGTCACCCCATTCCGGTCCCGCCGGCATGTCAAAACCGCCGATAGCGGTCGCGGCTGGCCGTAACCCGCTAAGCACCACGGCCGTAACACCACCCCACCTCGGGCTACGACCGTAATGAGCCTTGTGATAATTTTCCGATCGCTACATTACTAAAATGTGAACTGAAAATTAAACTCCATATGTGTATGAAATAAAGGAAAACTGGCTTTTGACACGAAGTTTCTGCGGTCGCGGGTGTCTTTGATATCTGCGTTTTCCCCAACACCAGTGCCGTGCGTGCCGCATGGAGCTTTCAATGGACTCGGCCGCTCGGCGAAGATTACGGCAATTATCTTTACAAAAAAAATTAAGAATATCCATATTTGGTTTCTCGATTCCTTGAAATGCGTAGATATGTGCATAGCTTCCGGTTTTCATGAGCATAATTCAAGAAATTTGGCTCGAAAATGCGTTTCGTATTTTTCCAAGATGGCGCATGCATGCATGCATGTTACAGTCGAACCGCAGACCGCTATGCGCATCGGTTCTGCGCAGCTCTCTCTAAGATCTCGTTTAAATCTCGCGCTTCTTTTCCAAGGTAATGTGATCCGCGAGAATCCGCGAGAGTTTGCTACTGTTTACTGTTTCGCTTGTAACTCCGCTTTGCGTAAGTGTTTCCTTGTCATACGTTAATGTGAGACGTAAGAAGGGCCGGCGTCACGCTCAAGGTCGTAGATGTACATTACCGGTGGTGTTTGTTGGAGAAACGAGGTTTCAAAGTTGACCGTGTACGATGGAGATGATTCCACTCGAGACAGGTACCCTTTAGTTTTTTTGGGGGCAAACCCGTTTGCCCTATTTCATCGTCGATTTGGTGTATTGTTTAATAAAGTATAGACCCTCCCTCATCTATCGTGTGTTGTTTCTTTTGGGATCCTGTAGTTGTTAAAATATAGAAACCGATAGTAAGTTGAGCTCATTCAGTCGAATTCTCAACGATTTTTGTTCGAATCGCAAACTTTTGCAACTAGTTCTAACCAATACACCTGTAATGTAAGATGTGGCTGAAATATAGTTATGTTGGCTTGACACCTGTGTACTTAGTTTTGAAATTGCACAATGTGTATTGCAGCTCGACCTTCAGAAAAGTGTAATTTCTTTACAGTTTTTTTGCCTTTAAAAATGTTCAGTTAAAAGTTATATAGAACAAAAAAGAAAGTGAAAGAATATCGACCAAATAGTAAGCTTCAAAACGATACCCACTTTACGGATGAAAACAGAAGAGAAGGAATTTGGGCATGAACAAATACAACAACAGGTTGATTTTTCATGACCTAATTTTTGAAGGAGAAATCGGACACTATGACCTGTTACTGTAAATATACAAACATCGGGCAGATGTACTGACATTGGTATAGTTGCACATGAATCCCACTT